AAGAAGTCGACTCTATAAGATCCTTTAAACATGTAAACTATTCAGGCATATTTTGTGTGTTTAGGACAAGAGGAAGCTCTAGGGGCCTGGAGCTGCTCGGCCAGCTCTGAGGCATGTGGTTCAAATCCATCAGACACTCCTTTGGAAAATGATGGATGATCTCTTCCTGTGGGGTTTACAGTCTCGGAAAAGCCACTGCAGGGACAGCTATCCAGACTCAATGACTCAAAGTAACAACACATAACGTCCTTCAACCTGATTAGTTAGCTGGCTAGGAGACTGTTGTTGTTTTTTCTCAAGAACGAAGGATTTGAGATCAAGTCTGCAGCCATTCCACCCTGAAAGCACCCAGTCTCATCTAATCTTTGAAACTAAGCAGAGTCGGGCCTGACTAGTACTTGGATGAGAGACCTCCTGGGAATAATGGGTGTTGTAGGGTTCAGTGTCACATTGTCCGTGTATTTATATACAGATCTTATGAATTTTTCAGTAAAGAAATATGAACAACAACAAAAAGCATCACAGCAAGGAAGCCTGCTAACCCCCTGCCTCGAACATCACACTTAGGATGGGAACATGTGGAATAAACTCCCTCTGACCCCTGGACACTTCCCCATGTTCCTTTCCCCTTACTTCCTGTTTTTGGCCAAACCCTTAAAAAGTCTAGCTTGGTCCTGCAGAAAATCGTATCTAAGGCACCCATGATGTCATTTTCTCTCAGATCTCTAGCTTCTGAACAAAAGTCTACTTAAGAGATTCAGATTCTGCTCACTGGGCTTGTACTGAACATTACCTCTGCCTTCTCAGCCTTAATCTGCCCACTTCCCTTCATGCTAATTGTTGGTGTGATGACAATGCTTGGACCCCAGCCTCCCAGACTGGCCCTTTCTCAAGTTATGGGTCACTGCCAGCTGTTTCTCCAGTTCACGTTCAAGCCCATTTGGTTTGCCCCTTCAGGAACATTTGCCAGAGGGGAATTCACCTAGCTGTGCATCAGAATCACCTGTGGAAAGGACAAAGCGTACAAGGTGTCCCGCTGATGCCTTTGAAATCTGCTTCAGCAGCTGCACAGATAACACTGAGGATGTTAATCAGTCCATCTGAGCTGAGAACCACACAGCCTCTCCTGGCACAGGAAGATCATACTACATGTGGATTCTGACTTAGGGTGGGAGGTGGACCTGAGCGTGCATCTAATGTGCTGTGAGGTAATACTGGTCATATTGGTCTGTGGGCTACACTTTGAATCATAAGGCTTGGAGGACTTCCAGCCCTTAAAAGGATGACCCACTCACATCAGCATTGGCCTCTGTTATGCTTGGTCTTGGCTGTGACAGCCCCAGAGTGAGAACCCCTGGGATGCCTTAACCCAGATGTGATTTCCTTCCAGGACCAGTCCCAGATGTAATGGAAAAGAGGACAGGGGAACTCCCAGGGCCTAATAGTCTCTAAACATTGAGCAGAATTACCCACACTTGACCCAAACATACTGTGGATGATGCAGGATAGCGCAGGGTTCAGTTCATAGGGTCACTATGAGTCGTAGTCAACTTGATGGCACCTAGACCTGACAACGACCCACCTAGATATCAGAGGGGACTGGCTTACGGTATACGTGAAATTGTCCAGGTGCTTGCTTGCTCTGACTAACATCATTCTTCAGGACTTGTAGAGTGTAGGTTCCTTCATCTTTCTGGCTTACATTCTGAAGCAGCAGGGCCCCATTGTGCTATATTTGTCTCTTGCCGCTACTTGATGTTCTTTAGATATATTAGAATTTGATGGCTGAGCTGGATGCTCTGCCCTCTGTACCAGCTGTAGTCATAAGAATTCTGGGGCAGATGGTGGATGAGCAGAACTTCTTCCCCTTTGGCAGCACTGAATGGCATAGACTCAACAGTGAGTTGGGTGGTGAGACTTGGTTTCCTGAAGGGTAAGAGTAAGACTAGAAGGAAGACAGTATCAGTTAGCATGTGGATGAATCAACTAAAATGCAAAGTGAGTCCTTGCGAAGGAAGTCTCTTTTCGTTACTGGACATGGATGTGTATCCTCCTGGTTCAAGTCAACATATAAATGTCATTACTTGAGAGGCCACTGCAGTGTGAGCTAAATGTATTTCCTCTACTCCACTCCTACCCTGCCAGATCGTTTGTACCCTGTTCACCCCACTCTGGGCACATACATTCCCACGTACACTCTGGAGTTGACTCTGAGTTTTTGTTAGGGGTCTTCACTCTTACTTTGACTATAATAATGCTATGAATGATATGTCTGATGCTGGCCCTATCCTGCACCTTCCTTACCACCTCTGTTTTGCTCAACTCCATTGCCAGTCACCATGCCAGTCCATCCTTTTGAGAGATTTCCCCTCTTTCCCTGACCCTCCATCCTCCCCAGCATATCTTTTCTCAAGAACTGATCGCTCCTGACAACGTGCCCAAAGTCTATGAGAGGAAGTCTCACCATTCTTGTTTCTTGTTTCATTCTTGTTTCTTTGTTGTTTCTGACTCATAGAACCCACTCTCAGCTGGTCCCCCAATGTGGACAGCTCTCAGGGGATCTCTGCTACAGTGCTCACAGGGAGTTGCACTGCAACCAAAGATTAAGTCTTTCTAGCAGCTCGAATCCACCAGCAGCTCCATGAGACAGAGATGGGCGATCTCCTCCTGTGAAATTTCCAGTCTTGGAAACCCAGTGGAGGGCCAGCACTGAGTCAGTTCTGACTTTACAATGAAAGAAGAATCCTTGTGGAAGGAGATTGCTGGTATATTTGAACCACTGATCTTTTGATTATCCTTGAAACACCTAATACAACACAGCTCCTTGCATTGACCTCCCTCTTTCCTCAAACGCATTGGACACATTTCACCTCAGAGCCTCTTCCTTTGTTGTTTCATCTGCTTGGAACCCCCATGTACTCGCGTGACTCATTCATTTTCTTATCCATGTCACCTCCCACGGATGCCTTTTCCTCACCTCCAAATCTAAAATAGTGCCTCTCTGCAGTCTCTCACATCCTTCTCTGTTCCCACTCCACACAAGAGCATCTTTCACAATCGATCCGTCTATGGGGCTGCTGCTGTTCTTTACAGCTCGAGCACGAGTGACACAAGGGCGGGGCTTTGTCCCATTCGCTGTTGTATCTGGGCATCTGCAGCAGGCCTGGCCTCTCTAGGGCTGGAGTTATTTGGTTGAATGAAGGATCAAATTCAACATAAGGTCATGCTCCCAGGAAATTACTTTCTTCCAATTCCCTCCAAATCTAAACTCTGTTTCCAACAAAGGTAAAGGGAATGCCTGGTGATGATTGCCAATAAGGACAACATTTGGAGTCCTTGAGTATGCTATTTCTGGAAGTCTCTCAAATACATCAAACTTATTGCCATCAAATTAATTCTGAGTCACAGGGACCCTCCATCCGGTTTCTGAGGCTGTAGGTCTTAATGAGGGAGATGGTTTATCTTTCTCCCTCAGAGCAGTGGGAAAGATGGAAATTGAACTACTGGAACTGTGCACCGTTTGGGTTAGCAGCACAACATATTGCAGGCCACATCTGCAGAGCTCCTTTAGGTAGGTTTATGACACATAAGTTGACGTTTTTCTTATCAGCTTTTACATTTGTTAAATGGTCAAAACCATTGCTTTGACTTGGACCCTGTGATGCAATTGAAATTTTCCTCCTCTTATCACCTTAGGTCAGTGAGGTTTCCTTGTGGCCCACTCCTGACCCTCTCTCCAAAACAAGAACAACAGCAACAAAAATCTCCAATGTTGTCAAGTTAATTCTAACTCAGAGTAACTCTCCATCCACGTTCCTGAGGCTACAAATCTTAAGGGAAGAGACTGCCCATCTTTCTCTCACCCATCTTTCTATCTTTCATGAAATGACTGGTAGATTCAAACCACCAACCTTTTGGTCAGCAGAACAGCACATAACACACTATGCCACCACAGCTCCTTTCCATAGAAACTCTAAAAGTAAGCTCTCTGTCCTCTATTACAACCTTCCCTGGAGACCCCAGGCAGTCTCTCTGATATAGACTATCGTTTCTTACCTGTGAATAGGTCCCCAGCCATGGAACACCCCACTTTGGGGTCATCACTGAGGAGAGTGCCAGAGGTCTCTGCAGCCAGATTTCAGATCAATGTACCCTATGGACAGTTCTGACTCTAGAAAGTCCTGTCAGACCTTGCTTCCTCAGAAGATAGCTCAACCCAATGCCTATCCTCTGCCTGAACCCAACCACTCTCTGCTCATCCACCTCCCCACCTCTCTTTTTATGTGCATTTCCTCTCTTGCTAAAAGCAGAGACTTCTGCTTTCCTCAGTCTTGACCCTCCTTTGAGACCACTTCTCCCACCTCCCATGTTACTATAGTGTCATGAGCCTTGAGCCTTAATTAATTACTCATAGACAGATTACAAAAGCCAACTACAATTGATTGATTCATTAATTATAACAATAGGTGCAATTTATCTACATTGCTATTTGTAAATTCAACACAACATATTGATTGATCAATTCATAGCAAGCATTAACAATTAATTGCAATTTATCTACATTGCAATTCATAAATTCATCACAACATATTGATTCATCAACAGTGGGGAACACTCACTCACCCCAGGATCCCAACTTGTTTCCTTTGTCTCTCATGATCATTGAAGCCATAGAGATCGGGTGGGGGGGGACGGGTGGGGGGCGGGGTTCTCCACTAGTTCAGCAGTTTGATGTAGCCAGGGGGTTCTCAGCTAGTTCAGCAGTTTGATGTCGCCAGGGTCCAGTGGTGTGGGCAGAATCCTCCACTGTCTCAGTAGCTCATGCCCATCAATGTAGGCCAGAGTTCTTGGCTCTGAAAAGAGCCTTTGGGTCTTTGGCTCCAAAAAGAGCCTTTGGGTCTTCAGTGTTCAGCTTATTATGAAGTGCAGAGAGAGATTTTCTGGGCACAACCAGAGTTTATCTACTCTGGCTTTCCCACTTTACATTATGGTGAGGCAAGTGAGGCGTGTTGGGACATGTTGAATAACAATATGGGTTTGACCAATCATGTTCAATACTAGTTGTGTTTCCATGGCAACACAGCAGTAACCAGTCATATCTTCTTATCAAGGGTCCACAACTGTTGTGGTCAGTGGGGCCCTAGAGTCACTTAAGAGTATGTTTTCACAAATATTCTTAAAAAATTTCTAACAGCAAATTCACAACATTTCTTATTTTATTGCTCACACATCACATAATAGATTCCTAACTTATTTCTTATTTAATTTCTAACATATAACATAGAAAGTTCTTCACATGTTTCTTATTTTATTTCTTACATATAACATAGCAGGTTCTCAACATATTTCTTATTTCTAACATATAACAGATTACCAATATATTTCTTATTCTTAAATTTACAAGTTACGTTCTCTTAGCAACATGGGCAGTAACAAGTTGCATTCCCTTATCAAGATTCACATACGGAAGCCAGTAGCTTTATAGGCAAGTTATTATCAGTTACATTCCCTTATCAAGGGTTTGCACCTACTGTGGTCAGTGGGGCTCTAGGCCTCAAAGAGGTCTATTTAGGCATGTTAAACTGCTAGTATATTTTTTTCACTAATATTCTTATTTCTATACTTAAGCATCAAATTCATCATAATATTTTTCACAGCAAACATATTTCATAATCTGTGTTACAGCAAATTAAAGCAACCTTATGATATTTCATAATTTGTGTTACAGCAAAATTAATGTATTTTTCTTATATTTAAACTGCTCATAACACTGTTGTTAAATGCCCTCTGGTGGTGTACGACTCACAGCAACCCCATGAACAACTGATTTGAACTCTGTCCTGTCCTGTGCTATCCTTATCATCTTCTATACATTTGAGCCCATTACTACAGACACTGCATCAATCCATCTCTTTGAGGGTCTTCATCTCCTTCGTTGACCCTCCACCTTTCCAAACATGATGTCCTTCTTCAAGGAATAATGCCTCCTAACAACATGTCTAAGATAGGTGCAGTGAAGCTTCATCAATTTTGTCTCCAAGGAACGTTCTGGTTGCACTCTGTCCAACACTTCTCTGTGCTTTTGGAAGTCCACGGGATATTCAGCACTCTTCTCAATACCAAAACTCAAATGCACCAAATCTTCTTCTTTGTCATCCTTATTTATTGTCCAGTCTCAGATGCCTAGCAGGTGAACTCTAAATTAGGCACACCTGAGCCTTTAGACCAACACCATTGCTCCTAAAGACTTTAGAGAAATCCATGACAGCAGGCTTTCCCTATGCTATACGTTTCCTGATCTCCTGACTGCTGGTAATAAGGGTGGTGACTGTGGTTCCAAGCAATATGAAATTGTTGATGAGAGAGCAAAAATTGATTACAAAGACAGAGGCAAAAGAAAAAACTCAAGTGGATGTTGGAAGAGACCCTGAGAATTGCACTAGAGCATCGAGAAGCCAAAACAAAAGGCAGAGATGCCACCTCCTCTGGGTAGAGGACAAGATGTCAAGACAGATGCACAAGCTTCTTTGTCTTAGCCCCTTTGTCTTTGTCTCTTTTTCAGAGCAGAATCCTGTGTAACAGGAACTCCTGTCGCAAGGCATCCTCTCCCTTATATGCATGCTCACTGTGCATCTGGATCACATGTGGGACTTCAGGAAGATTATGAGGTGCTCAGGAAATGCCTTAGTAATGCTGCATTAGTGGCTGTGCAGGCAAGGCTGAGGCTCAGCTGGCCCAAGAATGAGTGATCTGTAGGTGAGGTGGGCTTCCCTCTCCTATGCATGTGGGTGGTCTAAAGACCCTGTCAAATGAGGGTCTGATTCCTGGGTATAGAGCGGGTGGGTGTAGAGGAGGCTCGAGAATTTGTTTCTAACATGCTCATAGATGATGTTGAGATGATGCTGATGGTGGTGTTCCCCAGGACATACTATAATCCTCTGCTATACAGAGAAGGTGACCTGCCCACATCAGGCTTGCCCTCTGACCTTGGGTCTGTCAACATTAGAGAGTCTCTGGGGTCCTCAAACCTGAGGACTATTCTTTTGTGATGCAGAACTCAAATGTGGGGGTCTTGCCAATTCTTAAATGTGCTTATCTGGCCAGAAGGTTCTTAAAAAGTGGAGGTGAGAAATGGACAAGGTGAATAATGACAAGTGAGAGGGACCCTCCCTATGTCTCCATGTATCATTAGCCTCTTTGTAGCTTTCAGTGACAAACACTCAACATCTGGGGTTTTCAGAAGGACATGTCACTCCTGGGGGGGGGGGGGTCATGGCGGGTCTTGTGTCCTTGTCATGTGTGTCCTAAGAGGAGATACGAGGTGATGGGTGGTCAATGAGGGAGTCTTGTTCTGTGGTCTTAGCGGTGGGCCTCTTGCCCTCTAGGAGGTGGCTGGGGGTCAGAACCTGGCCCTGTTCCCCTGATCATTCTGGGGTGGCTTCTGTCCTCAGTCTTGTTGGCTTTCCTGTGGATACTCCATCTTTCTCCATGACTGAAGTCAAGAATGAACACTTAATTGTGTTCATAAGAAATCTATGCTTAGATCAAGAACTGTTGTCAGAACAGATCAAGGGAACACTGCATGGTTTAAAATCAGGAAGGGTGTGCATTAGGGATATATATCCTTTCTCCATACCTATTCACTTTGTATACTGAGCAAGTAATTAATGAAGCTGTATTCCATGAAGAAGAATGTTGCATCAGGATCAGAAGAAGACTAATCAACAACCTGCATTATGCAGGTGAAACAACCTTACTTTCTGAAAGTAAAAAAGACGTAAAATGCTTATTGCAGAAAATTATGGACTATAGCCTTTGGTATGGATTATATATCAACATCAAGAAAATAAAGGCCCTTTCCACCGGGCCAATAGCATCATGAAAGATGGAGAAAATATTGAACTTGTCAATGACTTCACCTTGCTTGGATCAACAATCTACATTCTTAGTACCACCGTCAGGAGACCAGGAGATGTATTTCATAGGTCAATGTATTTCATTCTGCTGTCAGGGACCTCTCCAACTTAAGAACAATGAAGTCAGTCTGAAGAGTAAGGTAGACCTGATTCAGGCCATGGTTTTCTCAATCACTGGATATGCATCTGAGAGCCGGGCAAAAAATGAGGATGACAGAAGAAGAATTGATGCCTTTGATTTGTGGTGCTGAAGATGGGTACTGAACATTCCACAGATTGCAAAAAAGAACAATCATATATCTCTTAGAACAAGTGCATCCAGGTTGCTCCTTGGAAGCACAGATAGTGAGGCTTTATCTTTTATACTTTGGATTTGTTGCTAGGAGAGGTTATTCCTTGGAAAGATACATCATGTTTGGAAAATGGAGGGCTTGGTGAAAGAGAAGACGACCTCCAAAGAGCTGGATTGACAGACTGACTGTAGCAATGGGCTCAAGTATGGCAGAGATGACAAGGATGGCACAGGATAGGGCAGGGTTCAGGTCTGTTGTTTGTAGGGTCACTATGAGTCATATTTGACTTGATGGCACCTGATAATAGCAACAACTCTATCTTTCCCCAAGGCTGAAGTCGAATAGAGAGTGGGATACAGAAAGGAACCCCCTGGATAAGAGGACCCAGGATCCTCCAGCAAGTAGGTTGTAAAACAGAGGAAAGGGTTAAGCTCAGAAAATTAAAAGCTCATGCTGAGTTATTCAGGAAGTCATAATGCACTCCACCCTCCCTGTGCTGGCGTCACCTTGAGTGTGGGTCTGGAGAATCAGAGACTGTGCGGGAAAGGCAGGTAGCCCACGCAGACCAGGCTAGGGAGAGTGAAGTTGCTCACAATTTGGAGTTGTGGGTGGTCGGGCCATATTCTTGGGTGTACACCCACCACAGCCTCTCCACCAATAGAGCTCTCTCCTTCCTGGCTCTGAGTTGATGCCACCCAGTGCAGCCACCTTCCCCACCAAAGACTCCATATGAGACCATACCCAATCCTTAGCAATGCTTATTATCAATTTTAATTATACTGTAACATGTGATAATCATAGTTGTCAAGTGATCAAATGTAGTTCTTCTTAGATTTATATGAGGACTAACACCAAAAATGTTGTGTAAAATATTTCTACACTGAATTGCATTATTATTATAAAGTTGTTGTTCTTATGTACCTTTGAGACAAAGCCAACTCATACATGATCCTTCAGCAGGTTTTTGGAGGCTATAAATTGCATAGGAGGAGATTACCTAACTTACTCCTGCAGAGCAGCTGGTGGATTTGAACCCGTTCTTTGGGTTGGCAGTGAAGTTCCTTACCATAGCATTGTCAACATAAAGCCATGCCTGTTTGGCAGTTCAAATCCAGCAGCAACTCTGAAGGAGAAGAATGGCAATTTATAGCCCCTGAAAACCCACTAAAGGGTCAACTATGGGTTGGTTCAAACTAAATTAATACATGAATTAAAAAACAGGTTAAAGGGAAAGACAATGTCCAATGAGGGTTTGATTAAACAATGCAATGAGTTAGTTAAATTAGTACATGGCAATGTTATGAAACAAAATGCCTACAAATAATTATATAAAAAACCGATATGATTTGTACATAAAACCCTTCACACGACTGAGTGGTTTGAAAGCGATGTATGATAGCGTATTATGGTTATCACAAGAGTCCACAATTAGGGTTGCATAGTGGAATGTACTTGGGGTGGTGGGAGGGGTGTGGGGGGATTGTGTACCAGGGAAGGAGTCTTTCTTTTACTTTTGGAAGAGAGGAGCGAACTGGGGGGCAGGGGGAGAGGGCTGGGCGGGTAAAGAAGTCTAGCAATGAATGAATGGAAATCCAAATTCCCTGTAAATGTTCATTAAAATTATTTAAAAAATAATAATAATTTTAAAAAGACCCAAAAAAATTTTAAAAAAACCTTTCACACCAATAAATGGTATTTAAATAACCATTAAAGGCTTCTTGCACTGCCAATCCAAAGGCAAGCGGTTCAAACCCACCAATTGCTTTCCAGGAGATAGATAGGCAACCTCCTCTCATGAGATTTGCCATTGTTATTGTCATTGTTGTTACTGTGAGTTTAGTGGAACCCTGAATCCACTACAACTCATAGCTACCCTATGAAGAACAGATCTGAACATTGTACCATCTTCATGTGGTCAGGAGGGGCCAGTCATGGGAAATATTATGCTGAGAAAGGTGAAAGGACAGAGAAAGAAAGGAAGACCTCCTCATGAGATTTACAGCCTCTGAAAACTCACTGGAGGGTCAGCTATGAAGAAGTTCCAACTTGTTCCCAAGAAGTTGGGAGATTTGAGGGGGTTTTTTGGTGTAGCAGAATAGAGCCATGGCAGGGCACTCATGTTCTTTCTTAAGCTCATGTTGGGACTTCCGGCCTGAGACAGCCTATCAAAGCTCACTGTCAAGGAGTCACTGGTGACTCATTGCAATCCTTCAGCTTCCGAGGCTGTACATCCTAGGAAGTTGCACTGATAAAGAAAAGGAATCATCTTGCTGCTGGTTCAAATCCACAAGTAGCTCCACAAGAGAAAGATAGACAATCTCCTTCTGTGTCATTCACCGTCTGTCTTTCTCCTGCAGAGCAACTGATGGATTAGAACAGCCGACTGCTGAGGTTGCAATTCAACACAATATGTACTGTCACCAACGTGTCTTGAAACACAACCTACAGACCATTTTTATAACCTGTACCCCCAACCCTCCCTCTTTAGATTTGCTCAGGGAGGTTCAAATCCTCTACAGGAGAAAGAGAGAAAATTTCATGTGTGACTTATAGCCTCAAAAAACCCAATGAAGGGTCATTGATGAATGAATAAGGATGACAGAAGAAAGATCGACACCCATGTCTTGCAGAAAGTGCAGCCAGAGTGCTTCTTGGAGGCAAGAACTGTTGGTGAAGTTTTTTCTCACATACTTTAGTTATGTTGTTGTTGTATTGTTAGGAGAGGTTATTCATTAGAAAATGACATCATGCTTGAAAAAGTGGAGACTCAGTGAAAGTGAGGAAGACCCTCAACAAGGTGGGTTGACACAGTGCCTGCATCTATGAGATCAAGTGTATCAGATGAGGAAGATGCCACAGGACAGGACAGGGTTCAGGTCTCTTGCTCATAGGGTCACTATGAGTTCATAGTCAAGTCAATGGCACCTAACAACAATAACAACACCGTAGCATGGACTAGTGACCTGGACCCAAACCAGGACCATCTATGAAGGTGCTAGAGGTGACTCTAGACCCAGCAGTTAGTTTGGGCTGGACTTCTGGGCCCAGATGCGTGTGTGTGTGTGTGTGTGTGTGTGTGTGTGTGTGTGTGTACCAGGGAAAGTGACCCTTGAGGCTCTGCTGCTTAGGATCTGTGACAGGGTTGCTGTGGAACATTTCTGAATGGGCCTTCTCCTCTGGGAAATGGGTCCTCGGGGGTATTTAAAAGAGCTCCCTCACATGGAAAAGTCAGGAGCAATTTGTCAGCCACTATAAAACAGATTCACACTGAGGGGCTGAGGGGAACGGGGTGGGGAGATCTGGAGGCGTGGGGGACAGAGCTTGATTTCACAGTAGACCCAGAGTCAGAACCCAAGATATTAGATTGGGGGGAGGGTTGCTGACCCCACATCTGTAGGACATCCATAGGACATGTTTCTAGGTTGTCTTTGGAGGAACTACCTCTCCTCTTCCTGGGTGCAATGAGAGAGGTGGGGGATCGCAGGCAGGTCTGGGCAGGTGGAAGGTGGTGGTCCAATGACATCGGGCATATACGAGGTGCCCAGACCACTCAACTGCCACAAACCAAGTCAGTGGGTGAGAGGTCTTCTCTTCAGAATCCAGTGCTTTCCAGGCGCTGAAGAGGACATCATGCTTGGTAAGGGAGAGGATCAGTGAGAAAGAAGGCGACACTCAGGGAGATGAGCTGACAGTGGCTGCAAAGGTAGGTTCACACGCAGTACATTTACGAGGAGGCACAGGTCAGCTGGAGGTTCATTCCATGTGCCGCAGGCCACTATGTGTCCAAGCCGACTCAAGTCACCTAACAGCAATGCAATGATGACCACAACAACAGCACCACACAGAGAACTGACAGTCCAACACTGGGGGACAGACCACACGGTGCTACAGTGGCTTGGTAATGGATAGCAATTCTGTCTTCTGTGTTGAGGAGACTCATCTTCCAACTGGACGAAGGAAAATGGATGTTCAGGAGAAAGGGGAGGTCATGCAAGACGTTTCCTGCTTCCTTCTCCACCTGGCTGACTTGTGGGGATGATGTCAATGAGGCCTCTCCACTTCTGACATCCAACAAGGGTTAGCCAGTGATAGAAGCTCCAAAGGAGATGAGAGAATGAGGAGTGGATGGTGGGGTTTGTTCCCTCAGGGCACCGCCTGGAGTGTCACTGTGGGCTGGAGCTAGTTTTCAGCTAAAGGTCTTGTCAAGAATCTCGTTAGCTCACACACTTTCTCTCTCACTCTCATTCTCCTTCCATATTCCAGCAATGGGTCATTCTTCTCACACATTAAAGTGCAGAAATATTAAGAAATCCCCAAAACCAAAAAACAGTAGATCCAGGAGAGTGTGCTGGTTTTTTTATTTCTCTTCTCCCCTCCTCTGTGTGTGTGTGTCTGTCTCTGTGCATCTCTCTCTCTTTCCTTCTCCCCCTCTTTCTGCCTTTCTGTCTCTCTGTTTGTCTGTGTGTGTGCACCGTGTGTGTATCTGAGTATCCAGCCCAGACCACCCACTGTGTCTAGAGTTCCTACACACAACTTTATAATTAGTTCCGGAGTTGGACCCAGGTGACAAACCCAAGCTGTCATAATAACAATCAAATTCCTTATGAAGTTGGAACAGACTCATAGCTGATGCTTGAGTTTTCTGAGTCTCTAAATCACACAGGAAATTGCTAATTTTTCTCTGTGTGTATATCTCTCTCTCTTCCCCTCTCTCCCCTCTCTCCTCCTTCCCCTCTCTCCTTCCTCCTCCCTCCTCTCTCTCTCTCTCACACACACACACACATTTAACAAAGATACTTTCATCAAACAGTCCTATACTATTCCTCAAGTTATTCAGGTGGGGTGCCCTCCTTGTTTGTAGGAACCACCTGTCAAAGTAGAAGCATCGTTGCTCCAATTCACGTGCTTGCCCAAACACCAAACAGTCATGGTGAGGCCCAAACACCTTCCGCAGCAGCTGCTCAATGTGGGGGCCGGACCAGTAATGTGAATCTCTTGCAGATACCCCCTTCTCCTTCATACCAGAGCTCTAATTGTCCTACTTTCCCTTTTGCATAGAGAAACTCTGTTGTTTGGTGAAAATACAATGTTTTTATTATCATACACACATGATCACTTCCTGAATCTCCACTCTGAAACAGCTGGTTCAGCTTTCCCTAGTGCCTCCCAGATGTTGTTATGAAATGATAAGCAAGTGGAAAGATGATTCATGGAAAAGATGGAGAAATAACTCCAAGGCCACTCGGTCATGAGGTTGGGAGAATATCAACTTTGGGGAATAAGCAGAGGCTAAGAACCTCAGGAAATGGGGTCAATAGGAAAAACAAAGCCTCTGCCAAAGAGCTAGGGACACACCCAGCCCCAACATCCAATCCAGGGAGGGGGCAGGAGCAGTTCCATCCTGGGCATGAGGGTCACTGAAGCTCTCACTCACAGAGAAGATTCCAGCATTTGGAGTTTTGAACAACTTGCTGGAATTTGAAGCCATGCAGCCCTTAACATTCATTGTAGTGGAGAGCCCAGCTGCAGGGCAAAAATGGGGTTAAGGAGGATACAAAGAGTAAAAGCACACTTCAGACTCTCAGATCCAGGGCCCCAGCCTCAGCCCCTTTCTCCCTCTGAAAAGGGAATCTGCGTCCCTGGCTCTGCCCACTTCAGGACCAATGAAATCCTTTCCTCCTCCTCCCCACCTCCCATCCCCCGCCCCAGTTCCTTTTTCCCTCAGACCCAAGGCCAGGGATTCCAGCCTACTCTTAGCTCAGAACCAATAAGTACAGTCCCGTAACCCACTCACCCTCATTATAGGTTAGTCAGGACTCACCTCCAATGAGACTGACATAACCATCATAACAATGAGTGGCACCCACAGAGCATGTTACGATATCAGGGTCTGAGCATGATCCATAGACATTCACACAGCCATCACACTTCAAGCCATCAGGGGCAGGGCCACCTGAAGAATAGAGAGAAAGCAGACGTAGGCAGCTCTGCCTCCAGCTCCATCCACCATCTTGAGCCCCAGAGTCTCAGGTGTCTCTGAGTTCCCCATTTCTCCATATCCTTCAACCAGCCTACTGGGTCCCATACCTGGGGGTGGGAGGGCGTCCAACAGGACACTGCTATTTTCAGCCCGGTTGCAGAAGCTGGAGGAGCAGACATGGTCATAGGAGGCGACGAACATTCCGGGGGGTCCCGAGTGTATGGAGATGTCCTGAGAATCCTGCGAGCCAGGTGAGCTGCAGCCTTTACCCCCCAGTAAGAGGGGCTTGTGTCCTTAAGGGTGAGACAGTGAAGACTAAGGTGCGCCTGATTCAGGCCATGGTCTTCTCAGTCACCCACACACATAAGAGAGCTGGATGGTGAGTAAGGATGACAGGAAGAATTTGAGTAGTGGTGCTGGAGAAGAGCACTGAAGATCCCATGGAAAGCCAAAAGAACAAACAGATGTGTCTTGGAGAGCATGCGGCCAGAGTGTTCCTTGAAGGCAAAGATGGAAAAGCTTCTTCTCTCATACTTTAGACACATAGGTAGGTAAGGCTATTCACTGGAAAGGGACATTGTGCTTGGAAAGATGGAGAGTCAGGGAGGGAGAAGAAAACCTGCAGTGAGACGGATTGACACAGTAACTTCAGCAATGGGCTAAAGTGTGTGAGAATGATGGGTGAGAGTGTAGGACAGGGTTAGGGTTGGCTTTTCATAGGATCACTATGAGTCATACTCAACTTGATGGCAACTAATGATAGCAACAGTCTGGAAGACGGCGAAGCCCCAGGTAGGCAGAGGCTGGGGTGTTGAACTCGCTCTCAAAGTTATAATATAACACATTATGTTTAGTGAAAAGTTCCAGCCTGGGTCCAGCTCTGCTACCTCGCAGTTGTGCACGCACAGGTCAGTCACTCACCACTTCTGTGCCTTGTTCCCTCACCTGGATTCTAGAAGCCACAATAATACAACCACCACATATAACTCCTCTTACAAAGTGCCTGGTGCATGGTAAATGATATGTGGGCATCTGTCATCTCCCTCAGAGATACACTTAGCTCACTCCCTTAGCTCGTTCAAATTCTTGCCCACTCTCACCCTTTTTCATTGTTTACCCTGAACACCTATTTAAAATGGCAGCCTTCACCTCTTTTTCTTTAAGAAATCAGTTGGATTTCTTACATATCTCTTCTCTTCTTACCTGTATTTCCTGATTCACTCTCTTCTCTGGGCCCTTGGACCTGTGGACCCTTGGGCCTGTGGCCCTTGGGTCTGGTGTAAAGCCCTGTTGGCTGTTAGAGATACAGCACTAAATTGGTCTTTCTGGCCACTAGTTATGCATCTGAGAGCTGGACCATCAATAAGGATGACAAGAAGAATTAGTGCCTTTGGAGAAGAGTACTGTGGTGTTGGAGAAGAGTACTGAACATCCCATGGATTGGCAAAAGAACAAATATGTCTTAAGTAAAGTGCAGCCAGAGTGCTCTTTGGAGGCAAAGATGCTAAAGCATTACCTCACATACTTCAGGTATGTTGCTATGAGAGGCTATTCCATAGAGAAGGACATCATGCTTTGAAAGGCAGAGAGTCTGTGAAGGAAAGGGAGACCCTCAACAAGGTGGATTGCCCAGTGACTGCCGTGATGGGCTCTAGTGTGTCAGGAAGTTTGACATAGGCATAGGCTAGGGCAGGGTCCATAAAGCCATTACAGGTCGTACTTGACTCAGCAGCACCTAACAACAACCACCCTCTTTTCCAGCCTCCAGTTTCCCACTCTCTGATGCATGAAGCTCTGGAGAAGACAGACATGATTGGATTTGAAGTGTCAACACCAATGCTTGGCACCAGGGCATAGTAAAAGCCTATCAAATGCTTATAAAGTCATGAAGGGTATTCTGGGACAAAGTTGTTATGACTCTAACAAAGAAGGATGAACAAGGAAAACTGAAGAAAAATTGGAGCCTTGAATTGTTGTAGTGGAGTATTGGATATCTATGGCCTATCAAAAGAACCCACAACTCTGTCTGGGAGGACATGCCACCAGGATGGTCTTTAGGGCAAAGATGGTAAAGCCTCACCTTCCATACTTTGGTCAAAACGTTGATAGGAGGTACCAGACCTTGGGAAAAGATATCTTCCTGGGAAAGATTGAGAGTCAGTGAAAGAGAGAAAGATCCTCAATGGGATGGATTGACGAAGAGCTTGGTATGATGGGGATGAGAGGACAGGGCCGGATAGGGCAAGGTTCCGATCTGCTGTTCAGAGGGTTACTATATGTCATAGCGGACTCATCAGCATCTAACAACAATAATGATGCTGAACAGGTTCCAGCACAGCTTTCAGACTAAGACAGATGAGAAAGAAAGATTTGGGTGTCTCCTTCCAAAAGTCAGCCTATGGGTCACTATGCAACAATGTGCAATTGATGTGGAGTCTGGACCAGAACTCAATTATAGCCAAGAACCAAGCAAACCAGGGCTTGGCAAACTCCAGGCAGGGAGAGGTCTGGGAAGGAGAGTAGGAGACAGAACTCAGGGCAGAGATACACTGGACCCAGGGCAGATAGCTGCCCTCTTGTCCAGCCCACGCACCTGACTCAAAGAGCAGCAGTGTCTCCTGGCACAGCTCTCCGATGCCACATAGCGTGGTCCCAGATGTTTGCCAGTCAACAGGCTCCCGAGATGCAGCAGGAAGAAGGTTCACCATGAGTCCTGAGTGGCAGGTCATAAACTCTAGGGAGGAAGAGTAACCACGGTCTGATTAATCCAAAGAGTCAGTCATGTCTGTCTCTTCAAGACCCATTTCCCAAAATCTTGGTGACTGCTTTCTTCAGCTACAGTCCAGGGGACTTGGCTCCAGAGTCCCCTGATCTCAGATATACAAGGAGTTTGGGAAGTCTGTATCTATTCCCTCGCCTTCAAACCCACCACTTTCTTTAGCTTGGTAAGAGGGAACACCTATCACTGCCTCTTGAGGAAAACTGGGTTGAGATAGGTAGACCTCCTTTGTTGTTTTTGTTATGTATCAAGTTAGAACCTGCTCATACTAACTCTACAGTGAGTTCTCTGAGGCTGTAATTCTCACAGGAGGAGACTGTCATGTTTGTCCTGTGGAGCAGCTGGTGGATTCAAACCATGTACCATTAACTTGGCGGCACAGCTCCTTATCACTAAGATACCAGAGCTCCCTAGGTCTCCTTTAGCCTGTCAATTTCTACCCTCCTTTCTGTCCACAGAGCTCTTATCTGAAAATGGAGATGGTAGCCTGGGCCATCGTTTGTAGACTTATCATGAGTTGGATGGGAACATCCTGCTGGGAAAGGTTGGGGGGTTGGCAAAAGAGAGGAAGACTCCCAACCAAATGGATTGACACTGTGACTGGAGTAATGTACTCAGGTGTGTCCAAGATGATGGAAATGGCACGGGATAGGCCAGGGTTCAGGTCTGTTGTTTATAGGGTCTCAATGATAACTAACACCAACAAACAATATGGGTTGAATTATATCCTGCCAAATATCTGAATATAAAATATGAAAAGTATGTAGTTGTGAGAGGATTAATACCCTTGATGTGGCTAGTCACACATTTTCTCTCACCAGAGATACAAGGGGAAGAAACCTAGTGGGGGCAGGAGTCTTCATTATCACCATGAGAGAATGGCCGGGAGTGGAGTGTGCTCTTTGGGACCCAGGCCCCTGCATTAGTGAGCTCCTTGACACTGAGGAAGATCAGAGCATGTGGGGATCTCCGAGGCATGCCTGGCATACAGATGATGAAAGAAATAAGGACTTTGTTCCACAACTGACAGAGAGAGTAGGCCTTTCCCTTGATCCCTGAATTTGAGCATTTAGCCTCCCAAACTGTAAGAGAATAACTTTCTGTTTGTTAAAGCTGTCCACAGCTGGTGTCTCTGTGCTAGCAACACTAAATAACTATGACAGACAATTATTTATTCAACTGAGAAGCTTCATTTCCCAAGCAGAATTACTCAAATGCCTTCTGTAAATATTAGCAAGGATGATTATTCTTTGCCTTACATACTATGTGTTTATTATCAGAAGGGCAAGTATGAGGAGACAGACATGATGGTCGGACAACATAGGGCTGGCAAAAGATGAAGACCCTCAATGAGATGGGTTGACCCAGTGGCTGCCACAGTGGTTTAAGCACCGCAGACTGTGAGGAGACCCCGGACCAGGCGGGGTTCCGTTCCATGTACACGGGGGTTGCTATGCAGTCAGTTTGAAGGCAACAAACAACAACTCTCTCTCCCTCTCTCTTGCACATTACCCAGAACTAACTCCTAGCTAGTGGTGTTATCAGAGGCTGAATTACACAGGAGACTCCCCATCTTTCTCCCACAGAGCAGTTGGTGGTTTGACTCTCCTGCCTTTGCACTGACAGTGAAACTCCTTACTCACAAGGCCACCTGAGGTCCCTAACAACAACTTGCTTTTGAAAGTACTTTCCGTGTATTATTTAAACAAGCTCATCCAAGGGTCACTATGAGTCGCAAGTGACTCGACGGCACATAACAACAACAACAACTTGCTATTGAAAGGACTTTCCATGTATTATTTAAACAAGCTCATCCAAAGGTATGTGGTACGGGATGAGCAATCTCCTCACATGCATTTTACTGCCTCTGAAAACCAGCTAGAGGGTCAACTATGACTTGATGGCACAGAACAGCCACCACAAGGAGCTCATTAGATGCCTCTTATCTGGGTTACCTCATTACATTGCCAATGAGGAAACTTCCCACACAGGTGGTGCTGCTGTCCTCATCCTCATTTTCAGTGGTGAAAGAGGAAGCAGAGGGCTTGGTCGGTCGTTGCCCAATGACTCAGAGTTGGTAAGCAGCACAAATGCACTGGGAACTCTGTCCCTGGGGGAGGTGAGAGGGATGAGTATCCTTGGTTGTCTTGGGGCCTGTGGTCAGAAGGAATCTAAAGTGAACGCTTCAACGTGAATGGGCTCCAACCTTCCCTAGGGAGCTCTGGTGGCCCAGTGTGCAGGGAGTTGTGCTGCTAGCCCCAAGGTCAAACCTGTCAGGCGGTTCAAATCCACCAGCTGCTCCACAGGAGAAAAATGAACAATCTCTTCCCGTGTGGTTTACAGCCTTGGAAATCCAATGGAGAAAAAAGAACTGGTTATCTGCTTTAAGTAAGATGTGTTGTGTATCATGGTTCCAAAGTTATCCACAGCTGACCCACCATTCGGATTTTAGAGGCTATAAACTATAAGGAAGATTGCACTTTTTTTTAATAAAAAAAAAAAGCACAGGAGCTAGTGAATTCAAACCACTTGCCTCTGCATTGGCAGACCGACTCCTGACCACCAAACCCTATGCAGAGGCTCTACTCTAATCACACTGGTTGTCAAGAGTCAGTGGGGCCCAACAGAAATGCCTGTGTATGACACTCACCCATAGTATTGCAGTTCTCACTTGTGCTCATAGGCCCGACTTTCTGGGTCCCATTAAGCAGGGTGCAGCCTTCTTGGGCCATGCATCCTCGGACTTCCAGGTTGGTATTGATGCCTCCTGAGATGGAAAGAGAGAGAGAAAAAGTCAACCTTGAAGCTAAAAATATTCAATGCTTACAGGGCAGGCTCAGCTCCAGGAAGCCCCTCAAAGACCCACCTCTCAGTTGACCATCTATCTCTCAGAGACCCAACTCTCAGTCTTCAGGTATCCCGCCAAAGACTGGGGATCTTCCCTGAAGAGACCCCAATGTCAGCAAGAACATACCTCCTCTGAGCACAAGGACACCTTTGTGGCAGTTTGTGATTCCTGCAGGACAGGGGAGTTCAGTCCCTGTCTCCTCGCACCCAGATGTGGACAGGCAGGTGGGGCACTGCATGCGCCCTAGGGCTGGGGGAGCTGTGGAAGTGAGAGGCAGACTGAGGGCATTTTGGAGTTTGCAACAAATGTCTTCTCTACACCCCACTGATATTCGTCCCCCAAGGAGAGTAAGTTGTCCTTTCTCCCTCTAAGCCACCAGTGGATTCAAACCATCAGAGAGCAGTGGCATTTGAGTAAGCAGTGAAATTCCCCAAGGAGGAGGCCATCAGAGATGCCTAGAAAAGCAGTTCTTGGAACTGACTTACACCTGACCCTCCAGCAGGTTTCAGAGGCTGTAAATCGCACCACAGTAGATTGCTCATCTTTCTACTGCAGCATAACGGCTGCATTGGAAACACCTGACTTTGAGTCCGCAGCGCAGTGCCTTACCACTAGCCCACCACAGCACCCTCAAAAACCAAAAAAAGCTGCAGCGACTGTAACTGAAGCTGCACAGAGGAATAAACGTGCAAGATGCCAGGTTCCATCTCCACAGGCCTGAGGTCAGTTCCCCAGCTGAGGAGCAAGACTGTTTCATTACTTTAGAAGAAGTGGGTTAGGGGATCCTGGGTGTATGTGAGCAGGAGGTGGAAGCCAGAGAGTGCAGGAAAGAGCCAACAAACCAGGAAAACATAAGGGGACAGAGGGCTGGAGCCAAGACAGGGGAACCAAAGAGAGGGAAAGAGGGGGGAGGAGCCAGCAGGGGTGATGGCAAGGGAAGGGAGAAAGGGGGAGGGGCTAGTGGAGGATGGAGGGGGAGGGGAAATGAGTCTCAATAGCCCTTCTATCTGTCCCCACCACCCTACCATCCCCACTGCACCTGCTGCATCCCTGTGCCCTCTGCCTCCCTCACCTGTGGAGAAGCTTGGGGTCCAGAGCGGGGCGCTGGTGGACAGGCTGTTGCAGAAGTCGGCGTCCCTGCACACATGGGTGTAAGAGATGATGGAGAGCCCAGGGCCGGACCTGTGCTCTGTGATGCTCACCTCCTGGTCTTTCTCCGGGGTGCAGCCCTTGGTGAGCACTATGCCCACCTGGGGTCCTAGATGGGGAAGGGGCAGGAAGGAGGGCAGAGTGGGCATCAGGACTCCAGGGGAGATTGGCTAGAAAGTTGAAACAACATCCCCAACCCCTCAATCCCTGGTGTTCCTTCCAGGAGGTGAAGCAACTTCAGGTGCTGGAAAGGGGGGCACCCCAAGTTCCAGCACTTAATGCAGGTAGAGGTGAGCAGACATGAATGCTGCGGCCTTCTCACCATTATGAATGAACATCAGGGTGTCTTGGCAACCCCAGCCGGCCTCACAGGTTTCATACCCTGCCGTCCACCGCCTGGGCAGCTCATCTGTATGATACACGGAGCTCAGCTTCCCTTGCTGGCAGGTCAGGGCCTGGGTTCCTGGAGTGGGAAGATCAAATCCATCTTAGCAGTGTTCCTTTCCACCTTCTGAAGGAAATCCTCTAGCTGTTTGCCTTTGAGGCTGGGGTCCTCACTCACGTGGCAGGGCGAGGGTGGCCCCCAGGACGGCCAGTAGAAGGGCAGCTCTCATGGCCACGCTGCAGCTGGAACCCTGGCCTCTACCCTGAGGAAAGCCAGATTCTTTTTATACCCCATCTTACTCAAGGTTGTTCTGGAAAAGGGTGGGGAGGAGAGGGCCTTGCTAAACAGTTTAGCAACAACATGAAGAACTTCTGCCTCTCTTCCTGCCTCAGACGCCCATGATCCCAGCCCTTACCTCTCCCCAAACCCACTGCTGTCTGAGTCAGTTCCAGCTTATAGCAATCCTCAGGTTTCTGTGACCATAGATCTTCACAGGGGAAACTGCGTACCTTTCTCCAGGTTGCAGCTGGTGGATCCAAACCACTGACTGGCCTTTCGAGCTACCCGGGAGCTACAGCACCAGAACTGCTTCTCACCTCCCACCTGAGGCAGCAACCCAGATCCCCAGTGTCCTCCTCCCTCAGACTCAACTGTCAAGCTCTCACTCCTCACAGCCAGGCTCCCAGGCCCCTTCGCCCTCACATCTAGGAGCCTGTTGTTATGTGCCATCAGTCGGCCCTATGTACAGTAGCTCTGAACGCTGCTCTATCCTGGGCCAATCTCAGTGCATCTGACACTCAGACCCCAGTTACTGTGTCAATCCATCTCATCAGGGTCTTCCTTTCTTGCACTGACCCTCCACCTTTCCGAGTTCTTCTCCAAGGATTGATCCCACTTGGCCACATGCCTGAAGTATGTCAGACCGAGATTCAAAATCCTTGCCTCCAAGGAGCAACTTGTTTTCAGCCAGTGCAGGACGGACCTGTTTGTTCTCTTGGCAATGCCCCGTTCAATACTCTTCTTCAGCAATACAACCCAAAGACATAGCTCTTCTTCTGTCTTCTCTGTTCGTGGTTTAGCTCTCTGATGCAAGTAGCTGTGAAGACCATGGCCTGGATCAGGCATACCTTGGTCTCTAGACTGACATCATTGCTCTTCAGCACTCTGGAGATGACCCTGACAGCAGAATTTCCTGATGCAATTTGTCTTCTGATTTCCTGACTGCTAGTGCCATGCCAGGAACCACATAAGCTGAAATTGTTAAAAGCTTCAATCTTTTCTCTGTCTGTCATAGTGCTGTCCCATCTTCCTCACTCTCATTTAGTCAGAACCAACACTTGGATTGGTTTTCAGAGGTTGTAAATGACAAGTGAAGAGATTGCCCATATTTCTCTCCCAGAGCAACTGGTGGATCTGAACCACCTGACTTTAGGTTGATGGTGCAACTCCTTACCCACCAGGCCATCAGAGCTCTCCAGCCCCCATAATAATTAGGAAGAGGCCTGCCTCTTAGTCCCCAGGCTGCACCAGGCTGTCTCTCTTGCTACCTTACTTCTTGAACCCAGTATGTGGCTCTTCACCTCAGCATTGTTTTAGGAGGGGTGTTTGCTCATCTTTTCTCATGGTAACTGGCCATGGTTAGAAATGACCCAATTACCTGTGGGTACATCGTGTGGTGGCCGTTGGCTGGTGTCTGTAGTCTCTCTGTCCCTGCTGACTTCCTATTCCTTTCTTTCTCTTTCCTTCCTGTGCTCTTTTTCCCTTTTATTTCTCTTTTCTTGCCCTTCAACCTTGCTTTCTCTTCCTTTATTCTCTCCCCTCACAGCACAACACAGGCCTCCAGACCCACCTCCTTACGAAATGGTTGATGAAGACAATGGGGAAGGGGAGTAATGACAACCAAGCGGTCACTGAAGACTTAGGATGCTCCTTAGCAAAGGTAAAGGATTCTTAGTACATAACATGGAAAGGCCAGGGAGTATTAAGCTGAGGAACTAAGTCAACTTGATAAGGACAAATACTGTGTAAGACCATTATTGTAGAAATGATACCAACAGTAGTAAAACATGTGAGGATCCACGAGGGGAGGGAAAGAGAAAAAAGGAGAGGGGGGGGAGCAGGTGTAATTATAGGGTTGCACAACTTGAAGGGTAGAGGGAAGGGTTGTTGTTGTTGTTAAGTGCTGTCGAGTCGTAGCGACCTATGAACGAAAGACCTGAGCATTGTTCATAGAGTTTCTGGAGGCAAGCCATTTTGGAAGTGGATGCCACTCTTGCTTCTAAGCTTGTTTTAATCAGGAAGCTCCACCAAACACTGACCACCATGGGTAACCATTATCGCATTGGACACATCCATGTCACAGTGTTTAGCATCACAGCAAGCGTGAGTTACTTCTGTACAGCACTGCACAGACCAGTAGGTAAATGAAATGGGAAAGGCCTGTTTTGAAAAACAATGTATATGAACTTTTAAAACAAACCAGTATAAAATAAAAATTTTCTTTAAAACCCCACAAAACGATGAATAACACACACACACACACACACACCGTAAACAAACAAACAAGTTGGACTATTAACTGAAAGATCAGTAGCTCGAGTCCCAGAGCTGCTTTGCAAGAGAAAGATGGGCAGCCCCCTCTTGTAAAGATCAGAGCCTCAGAAACCTGATGGATGGGGGCCAATGTCGGAAGAGGCTCAGCAGCAGTGGGAGTTAGTGAGTCTTGACAAAGGGTTGGATTTTTCCCCCAAGAATCTGATTGATGAGAGCAGTGGTATACTAGAAGCTCAGCTTTTTTGGTCAAAAAAGTCCTACTTTGTAGTACTGGCTTCTTTCTGTGGTGGGAATACTATGTTGTTGCTGTTTGTACCATCGAGTCAGAACTGACCCATAGCTGACTCTCCAGCGGGTTCTCAGAGGCAGTTAATCACGTGGGAGGAGACTGCCCACCCTTCTCCCACGAAGCAGCTTGTGGATTCTAACGGCGCGTCTTCAGGATTGCAGCGCAGCTTTTCCTACTATATTCCTTACATTTTTATTTTAATCTACCAATAGTCTAATAACAAGCTTCAAAATTCCCAACTATTTACCAGCTAAGTTAGTTACAGGCCTATTGAGCCAGTGCAATCACAACACTGGGTGAAGAGGCCGACAGGAATGAAACAGGCATGTGTCATGACGTCAGGACCTCCTTGGTTTCAGCAATGAACGTGGTGTCATTTACATAACCAGGTTGTTGATCAGTCTTCCTCAGATGCTGATACCACATTCTTCATAAAGTGCAACTTCTAGAATGATTGGCTTAGTATACAGACTGAATGGGTGTGGAGAGAGACACAGGCGTGATGTACACCTTTCTTGATTTTAAACCATGCAATGTTCCCTTGCTCTGTTTGCATCTTCTTGATCTTGGCATAGCTTCTACATGAGCCCAAATAGGTGTTTTGGCATTGCCATTTTTCTCAATGTCAGGCATAATTTTTTTGTGATGCACACAGAAAAATGCTTTTGCATGGTCAGTATGCAAAGAACTGGAGGAGGACTTCAAATGCTTCATGCAGAAGACCAGATGCCCAGGCCATGAGCAATGTGTGGCCAGTAGCAGCCCTTGGTGCATTGGGGCTGGGTCAGAGTCTAGTTGTTTGGGAACGCAGCCCAAAGTGGGTGGTAAACTCCATCTAAGGCTAAATACTGGCAGGAAACAGATAGTCAAAGTTGAAAAGAACTTTGAAGAGAGAGTTCAAGATTGCGAGAAACTGTTAAGAGGTAAAAGGTGAGATCCTCACAGTCCCCCTGGAGGATACAGCCCCCCAAAAAAGACTAAGATGCGCCTGATGAAATTTATGGTCTTTCATTTACTTTTACCTGAAAGTTAAAGAATGAATAAGGATAACAGAAAATATACATGTACCTTTGAGTTGTAGTGTTGGAGAAGAGTACTGAGCATCTCATGAACTGCCAAGAGAACAAACAAATATGTCTTGGAGAAAGTGCAACCCAGGTGCTTCATAGAGATAAAGAATGTGTTGTTAGGCGAAGTCATTTCTTAGAAAAGGATGTCAAGCTTGCAAAGGCAGAGGATCAGTGACAAAGACAAGATAGACTGGCACGTGACTGTGAGAATGGGTTCCAGTATATCAGAGATTATGTGGATGGCACAGGAGGTTCAGATCCCATTCTACATAGGATTCCTGTGAGTAATAGCTGACCAGATTATACCTAACAACATTGTTAGGGTCAAAATTAATGAAATGAGGTGAGGTCAGGGAGGAAGAATGGCAAGGCAAAGAAGAAGATGATACAGGCAAAAGTTCATGTTAAAAACAAAGGTGAGGGAGAGTAGCTAAGAACAGACAAAACCCATTTTACAGGGCAAAAGAGGGCAAAATGTAGACAAAGTGGCTAAGACTTGATTCTACTTGAGCCATAGCCAGGAGATAGAAAGGATTGTACCTAAAGGGCTCTGGTCCTGCCATGGACAACAAAAGTAAAGCAACCTATTAAATATTTTTACTATGTGAGAGACTCATTATGGGACCAGAGATTTTAGAAACAACAGCCTGGGAGTAGGAGCCACTCACCAAATTTTGAACTTCCCTTGACCTCATCTCAATGGTCCAGCCTCAAGCCCTAAAGTACAAGCACATGTGTAAGCATGGAGGCTCTATTAACCCTCGGCCCTTGTGGGATGGCATCATGTCCATTATTTTCCTTTCATCAGAGGGAGACCCATCCCTCTCTCTGAAACATACTCTCAATCCTTCATTGCTGGAGTCCTCTTTCTCCTCCTTTTCAATGGAGAGGGACTTGTTCCTCACTCTGAAACATAACTTTGCTAATATTTTGCCTTTCCTCTTGGCAAGCCAGAAATCCTGTTGAGTCCTCATGCTCTAATAGGGGCTCGGTCCATGTCAGAACTACTTGCTATAGACTAAAAATTACTCATTTGAAGTCCACAAAAATTGTGTACACTGTGCTACTTCTGTAGCTCAGACATCATCTCCTTTCGTCCCTTCCACCTGGTTTAATTCTTTATCTGAATGAGGAAGATTGAAGCCAGATCATCAACCCCACATTAACAATGGGGTTGCATACATGTGATATAATATGGAATGCATACATGTGAGATAATACGAAAGTGATGTCACTGTTCATAAGAGAAACATACACTGCCAAAGGAGACATATGGATGGACATGGTGCCACTAGCTCATGAATCCATTCACAGGTG